TTCACCTTTAATATGGCCCTGCTTTCCTATTTTTGAGAACAGAAATGACTTATCAGCCTGGTAGCAGATCCTTATTTTGTCTGCCTCCCACAATCCATCAGGAGAGGGTTAAGAAAAGGACCAGTTATCTCATAGCAGTCAAATTCTTTGTACATCATTGAGTTTTACATTGAACATCTCTGTGTGCTGTCAGCTGCAGAGAAAGAAGATTACACTGTGTGTCTGCTATATGAATACCCTGTAAATACTGCTTCAGTGCAAAAGGCAGATTTCTAATCGGCTATGGAATAAACAGAAACTGCTAGTTATTTTAGCATTAAAATAGTCAAATTTCATCGCTTTAATGCACAGCAGTAATTTACTTAATGTATTAACAGACACCTAGTAGCACCACAGCCAAAATATCCAAAGGAGTAAAACAAACCCCACAAGTTAGAGAGGTTATGAAAATATTTAACAAGAGCAGTCCTACATACTGGGCTGCTCACAAGCATTTACAGCAAAAAATGTCTTTTTGACTCTATAAATTATTTTGAATCACTGATCCCCAAGTTGGTGGGGAATAGGGATAATAGGGATGAGGCTATGAAAGATTGTTTGGGAGGCTGTGTTTGTTTCTTTCCAAGACAGTCTTAAAACCATCTTTCTGGACACCACTGAATACCATCAAAACAAAAGCTTTTACCTGATTTGATAGGAAACAATTACATAAGGGGAAAAGTGATGATACAGTTTAGATTTTGTATTTTTAAAACATCAGTCTGTGCCTTTGTAAGCATACACGTGTTGCAGGTCAGCTGTTTATGGAAATGACAATGGGAGTGAGAGTGCAATCAGTAACCAGACTTGAATGTATCTTGTCACCTAAAGCATGTCTGTATATAGCAATACATAAAGCTCTAGTCCATTCCAAAGGAGAAAAAAAAAATCTGAATTAGAGCAGTGAATGTTACCTGTAGGATGCACTTGTATCTTTTGAGAAATGACAGGGATCTTTGTGAAGTGATGCAACGCTTGCAAAATCACAGTAAATGTGTGGATTGCTCATTCTACTGCTGGTGGGGATCGTAATAGTATAGCCTGCATGGGGCTTTGTTTTCACAGTCAGATACAGAAACAAATACAAACTTCATAATTAGGGCATAACCCAAATCCCAGGCTTTTAGAAACCCCTATTTAATTCTGCTGCTCATTATGTTTCCCTAAGGACTCGATACTGACCGGTAGCTGAAATCTGAATGCTGTTCATAGGAGGCTTTTACAAATAATAGCCCTTGTAAAGTCAATAGATCAATAAGCAACCTTGCTACTACAGATTTGCTGCTTCAGAGATTCCTACATTTAGAAGTCCTTTTCTTGTGGCATTTGTAAATATTATTGTTTAAAAATTAGTGTAGACCCCTAATTAGGTGCCATAAAGACACTGCTTTAAACTTCAGAGAAAATACCAGCTTCTATATAGAAAGATCAGGGTTTGCAAGTGATGCGGTAAGAGAGACAGCTGTCATGACGGTTTTGTCATCTCAGCTTAATACAAAGAAAATTCTGCAAGTCGGTAGCTATTCCTTGAAAGTTTTTTGTTTTTTCTTCAATTTTCATATCAATACAGGGGGGAGTCTTCAAACTTTTTAGATATTCTGGTTGCCTCTGTTTCTTGTGCAACACTTGAAGCAATAAATGGGCTGATTACAAGCAGGAATGCTGTCCTGCGTAATGAATTCAACACTCTTCTTGTGACCACAGGTTAGCTGCATGTGCTGCATCCTTGGTGGAAAGAATAGGTCTAGGTCAGTGTCTTTAAATTTAAAGTTTGAAAAATCCAGCTTAGTTATTGCGGTTGTTTTCCAATCCACATTTTTATTAAAATGCAAATGTGTAAATGCCAGGGGAAAAAAAAAATAAATCTTTTTCTTAGGTAACCAATTTTTCTTACTGTTACCAATTTGAATTCTACATGCACTTTAAAAATTGTACTACTTCAAACTTGGGCATGGCATTTTATTCCAGCCTAGCCTATAAGGAAAGAAAGGGCTTTGAACTCTTAACCAGAACATTTTAAGAAGGCAGGAGGGAAAAAATTCTTTCATTCTTGAAATCTGATGTCCTTTATTTTTTGTCTAAGCTTTGAATTATTGTTGTTGTTAGGGTTTTTTATTTCTCTTTTAATGAAAGTGTTGTGGGGATCCTTTCTAGTATGTGACATGAAAGAAATAATAAGTAAAACAGAAAATAGCTGGAAGAAATAAAAACTCTTTTGGTCTTAGCTTTCTCTTGCTTCAGTTTTCCATCACTGTAACTCTCTAGCCTAGCCTGGGCAATGGCAGTCACAATAGAATTAGCTTTTCCTAAACACATTTGTGAAAACACTGTTTCTTCAACTATTACAGAATTAAATTACACTATTTTCTTCCACACCTATTCATCTGTTTTCTTCTAGACCTATTTGTTAGAGACTGAAGTCCTAGGTTTGCTAATCAAACATTCTCTCAGGCACAGATGCACACTGACTGGATCCAGTAAAGGTCAGGGGTTTCATGTGAAAATAATTTACAATTTAGACACATTTACAATTATTTTTTTCTTAAGGTAATAAAACCCATACATATTAAATAATACATAACCTCTCCTCATGTGATTGACTTTGCAATGTATGCTGGCTTGAGGCTTGGAGTCAGTTGCAGATCTGGAGCATTGTTTTGTATTTTCAAAACACTAAGCATCCCATTTCCCACAGTAGCATTTAGGAACACTAGCTCTTCAGCTTTGCCCTGTCCAACCACAGATAAGGAAGTCATTGCAACTGTAAACTAATAAGAACTTTTATTGTTGCCAAAAGATGTGTAAGGAGTACAATCACAGGTCTAAAAATCAAAATATACCATTCATTCCATCTGGAATGGATTCCTGATGCTTAAAAGGTTCTTTTCAATCCCAAAGTAAATATGAATAACTTTGAATAGCTGCGTACCATCTTTTGAAGTTATTTTTATTTTTGAAAATCCAAACAACAAATCCCAGCTTGTTTTACTATATTTTATCCTCAAATCTTACTAATCAATAAACCCTTAAAGTAGCAAGTCAGTCACATACTCCCACTAGGGTAAATGATGGTTTAAACCCTTTCTAAAAATTGCTTCCTTTTTAGCTCTTTACCATCATAACATTTGCTTTGTTACAGGCTGCAAATGTGCTTTTCTGACTGCAGTTTGTCACCCACAGATTCCACTGCACTGTGGGTGGAGAGCTGGGGATTTGTGTTCTGTTTTCATGCAGAGCTGTGCATTTAAAAATGTGCTGCTGCTGTTGTATTGTGAGTGGAACATCTTACCAAAACAGATTAATGATAGTCTTTCCAATGTAAATAAAATTAAATAAACCAACTTGATTGCTTTCTATTCAGAAAATAAGAATACAATGAGAAAAGAGAAAAAAAAAAAAAGCGTAAACCTTAAATCTATGATGATTCCTATGCATGTGTGTTGGGTTCTGGTTCCATTTATAATAAACGAAAGTCTAGCCTTTTAATGAGGGGGCAAAAGGCATCAACGGTGCCTCTTGTTATTAGTTCGACTTTTCATTATGAGTAATTCTGACCTGTATAATGAAATCAGATTATGTGTGAAAAATGAAGCGATGCTATACTGAAATGCAGTGTGAAGGTCAAATGTGGATTTTGTAGCTGTAGAAGAGTAAGAGACAACTCATTTTTTTAATAGACCAAGCAAAATATTTCTGAGTCTGAAATACAATTCAAGAGGGAAATAAAAGAAATGAGAAAAGAAACATGTGGCTTAAACAACCAAAAAGAACAAGAAACTGGAAAATACTGTTTCCTAAGACAACCTCTGACACAGCTTGATTCCAGTCACTAACTCTTCTTCTGTTTTGTTTTGTGTACATAGGGAATTAAGATACTCATCAAGGGTCTGGGTCAAGCCCCTAGTGTTGTGAATGAAAACATACCCACTGCCTGTAGTAGCAGCTCACTATTCAGTGCTTCCAGAGATTCATGCTTATTTATAAGCAGATTGCTCCTGGGTTAATTTTTTGTTACTTAGAGGTGAAAAATGTCATAGAGATGTTCAGGAAGTGAAATGAAAAGACAATATTGGCTCTGCATTTAAATGTTTAAATTCTCTGTTGTGCACTTTAAGTGAAATGTAGACATTCTAAGAATGATTATGGCATTAATCAAAAATGTGATTGGAATTAATTTAATACATTTAAAACACAGTTTTCTTAGTTTGCTTTTTCTTGCTTTTCAAAAATTTGAAACATTGAAAACCCTCTGATTTTATTATTGTTGAATATAGTTGAAAATAACAAAACTAATAAAAACCATACTTCAAAAAGCTAACAAAACATACTTCTAAATAACTATTTCATTTCAATCCCAATGTAAACATGAGCAACTTTGAATAGCTGTGTACCATCTTTTGAAGTTATTTTTATGAAAACAGAAAAAAAAAAGATAACTTTTATTAATATACTGTATCCTCAAATCTTATTAATCAATAAAGCCTTAAAGCAGCATCCTCCCACTAGGGTAAAATTTAAAATATGCAAGTGTTACCACAAATTATCTAGCTTTACATAGAAAAATACCCTCTGTGAATTTGATGCTTCTACCTAAAAATCCTCAATCTAAATGTAGTCACAATAAACACTGCAGACCTGTTTAAATCTAAAGAAAATAATTATATAGGTCAGAAATAATTCCAAAAGGATTGAATAAGCAAGATATAAACTTGAACCTCTGGGCATGGGAGCCTGCAGACTGTGAGGAGCAAGGTTTCAGATATATACCTATATCCTAAGGTGCCCTTTGTTCCTAACCTCAGGAAAGGTCAATCCCATTTTGATCTTTGAAAGAGAAAATACAGACCTATGCCTCTGCCAGTCCAGGCTTTGCTTCAGTTCACCCTCTCTGACCACAGCTGTCTTCACTTTGGAGAGGTCTAAAAGGCTGCCACTCTCCCTCCAAGTGCTACTCCCTATAGGAATGTGGTGGGGTATCCCAGTCTCAGGGGAAGAATACAGTCTCCATGTAGATCTCACAAAGGTTGATGGTTCATCTATTTTCCATCTGGTGCAAATTCTGGTAAGGCATCAATAACTGGGTTATTTTATTTTTGCTGGTATTGATGTCTCAATTTATTTCCTATTTTTCAACAGACTATCTTAAATGCTTGCCTTGTGCCCTAACAAACTCATCTTTTTTTCTTATCATTAGTGGTTTATTACCTTTTGCAGAAGTAACTTTGAATGAACCAGATGATTTCATATTTAGTGTTGCCTGTTGTTAAACCAACACTGACTTTCAGTAAGGAATTAGTTTTTGTCTCTCTAGTTTGCATATTAATTTAAGTTTGTGAGGGACTTTGAGATCTTTTAGATGACAGGAAATATATAAAAGTGAGGGGGTTTATGCTGGTAAACAGAATAGATCCTAAAAAAAGCTTTCACACAATCCTACATGATTTTACGTGTTAATATGAAGAACTTGTAAATTGTCAGCACTAACAAAATAATTTGCTGAGCTGCTTCTTTAGAACAGTTATGTATTACTGAGATAATTCGGGTTTGCTCTATAAATATGGGTCTATGTAAAGAAACGTCTACATCACTAGATATTACTGCAGGAATGACATTTCTCTACTGAAATTCTCAGTTTAAAAAGGTGTTCCAGTTTCTAATCTTAAATAAGATCAAAATAAAAAAATGCAATGGAGAAATGATTACTACTCATGATCGTGTTTCAGTCCCCAGAGTAAATCAAGAGACAGTTTACTAGAGAAAGATGAATATCATGGATTTGAGGGTATTGGGAGCCTTGCCAATTTTTTAATTAAAGTATGGGGAGTTGCACGTAAAGCTTCAAGAAACAGTGGGAGAAGAGGAACATAGGCTGCTCCGTTTTATGCAGTTTACACTTCTCCATAGGGGAAAGCTGGTTTCCAGCTAAGACTTTGTTTATGCAAAGGCTTGCCTTTCCTTGACCTGGTTTGTCAGTTTGGTCTGAAATTAAAGACTCTATTAGAATGTCTGATTAATTGTATATCATAATGTCTGATTCAGATGTTGACTTCCGTTAGCTGTCATTTATCCAAGTTTATCCAAAACTGAATAGCATCATCTTGGGCAACTAATTGTTTATTATATTAGCTCATCACGAAACAGTGCTAAAGAAAGGATCTGAACTTTGTCTCCCTCTGGAAAAGGTACAATTAGCCTGTTTATTTGTTTGCAGGCTGTCTGTGTTGTATGGTACACTTTACTAAAAAGAGCTGAATTGCAAGCCAGAGGGCTTCCTCTCAGTTCTAATCTCCCAAAGGAAGGTTACTTCCTTTTCCCCTGTCAAAAAGAAGGACACCAAACCTCAGGAAGCCTTTGGGTGAAGCATGCAGGGGTCAGGGACTGTAAATAGGGACTACACTGCAAAGGTAGAGAAGAAGAGACACTTGAGGAAGGGCAAGAGGCCTTCTGTAGTTTAAGAACAGCAGATACAGCAAGTTAGAGGTTTATGCCTTGTCTTTGAACCAGGTGGTCCACACTGGAGCTGACTCTGAACATTACATGAGGATTTTTCAAGTGTGATGGAATGTATAGCTATTTAGTAATTGGATTATTTCTTTTTCAAGAGCAGACAGTGAACCCAGTGAAGACAGGTCCCATTTGTCCAGAAAGTAGCCCAGGTTTCTCCATTTTATTGATTCATCCTCAGCAGTGCAAGGCCTACAGTTATTAAGTTTTGGCAGTGCTTGAAAAGGCCAGCATATATTGTCACTTCCATAGCACTGGCTATCCTAATTGGCAAGGTTTGTATGATCCACCTAATCCTGCATTTCTGACATTACTTAACTTCAGGACCATAGCTCTGTGAAAGCTTCTGGAACTGAAAATCACTAACTTTGTGTGACATGCTGGAGTATAATAGTTCTTTGTGAAGTCTTAATCCAGTGCTTCTTATACAATGACTGTAATACAGCAGTGTTGGAGGAGGAAGGGGACTCTAGAGGAAAGGCTCTATTTTACTGAATGCAGAATCCCTGTCTCTCAGAAATCATTGATTTCCCAGAGTCAGAAACGAGCAAAATGTTTCTCTGAGTTTTTTATCAGGCATCAGTTGGTGTTTAAATGATTATAAGCATGTTATGAAAATTGATCTTTGCTCAACTTAAGCAAAGGTGCTTTATAATTGGAACTAAATCATTATTGATTTTATATTTTTGCATTAAATTATATATCACAGCTTTAAAGTGTCAAATGCATGAATAAACAGAACCCATTTTTAAAGTGAGTTGTTATATATATTCTCCCAGAAGGTGGCAGCTGGGGAGCTCATGCTACTACACAGTAGACTCAGACTACTACAGTGTGAACATTAAAACAGAACAGAAAGGGGGAACTACACCTCCGCCCAACACCATTCACGTCGTTAGGCTTGAAGCGGGAGTTTGATCTGAATGCTGTCCTGAGCACTTTTAATAGTATGAGCCTCTTTTCCACAGTAATATGAAATAATCAGAATTTTTAAGATAACTATATATTTAAAATTTAAATTATAAATGTATATGAAGGAAGCAAAAAGTCTCTGCAGAGAGAAGAGATGGGGAGCCAAGGCAAAGTAGAGTGGGATAGGTCTAGGTGGCCAAAAAACCAAAGAGGACAGTGCTGTGGTTTTTAGGTCTGTCTTTAGAGGCTCCAGTGTAGGATCATAGAACTTGTGTCATATGGCAGAAAGATGCTGGATGATCCAGAATGATCAGAACAAACTGAGACATAAACATGGGGAGAGCGGGAGTCTGTGATGGTGATGGATGCAAATTCCTGGAGAATTTTTAGAATGGAGGGTTTTTGTGGACTGACTCTAGAAACTAAAGGAAAGTTTGTTTGAAGTGATAACACCATATGTGTAAGAAGGTGGGTGGCAGCTCCCAGAAGCTGAAAAGCTGGGGCTCACTGGGGTCAGAAAGCAGAATTTTGCAGCTGCTGTAACTGCAGAAAACTTAGTGATTATATCACAGAGTATTCTGGCTTTTCCTTCTTCTGTGCATAGTTTGAATCAGCAGTGAAACCCTTGCAGCTTTACAGGGATGGCCGCTCATTCCTAGAGTAACACCTGATCACATATTCTTAAGAATGCCTTTTAAAACATTGAAAATGAATTATTTTATTGTTTTGGGAAAAAAAAATCTTAGAACAAGGTGGGGTAATTAAAAATAAAAACAAAAAAGGTTGTTATTTCTAAAAGAGTGAGCTTTATAGCAATTTAGGTTAAACTTTCAGATCAGTTTCTTGAACACTTAAAACTGAACAATCAAAAGTGTACCTGTTTCAGAAATAATTGTGGAAGGTTCAGCAGAACAGCATGTACATCAAAGTGAGAAAAACATGTTTCAAAGGCCATTCCTAGCCCCTTAATGCATGAGTTAGCTAGAGATATGAAATACCAAGTTTTGACAGAAATTCTGTAGCTAAATAAATATGTCATATATTTCTGTGCACTGAAAATCAAAAAAAAATAACCTTGCTTGTGATCAACAAGTTTTGGTATTGCTGAAATATTACAGTGAGTTTTGAGATCAGTTTTTACAGACAAAGCTGTATTAAAAGACCTGCTAAATCAGCAGCAATAGTTTCAAATTCTGGTTTCATTTGTGCTCCCTCTTTATTAAGAGCAATTATAATTAACAGTTTCTGTGGGAGACTCTCAGTTTTAGCTTTAAACCTTCACGGGAATCTCCAGAAGAGCACAACTGTTCTCTGTTCTATGAAATTTAATTGGCTTTAACATGGTTCCTGCTAATAAAATAGAAAAGTAATGTATCAGTAGGTGTCCTCCCTTGTTGCTTTCTCCTATTACAGCAATCCCACATTGGACTGCGAGTGCAATTTGACTCACAAGTAAATCAGAAACAGTTTCTTAAGGGGCGATTTGTGAGGCACACCGCTGCTGCAGAAAGTAGCTTTGATTAGTGAGTAGTTGACATCCTTCCCCAGAAAACCTCATGTTGCAGGGAGCTTTTTGCACTACTTCAGGTGAAGAAATTAAAAAGCTATTGATCTCTTGTTTGTTAACAATCTTATTACACTTTTACTAGACTTGCTGCCTAATGCCCTGTCAAAATTCACACTTGGCTGCCTGTCATGCATCTGCACACTTTCCAGCATCAGCCCTGTAGGATAATATGACATTTTTTTACTTTCTGTCTCCAACTGTTGTGCAATCTTGTCCTGTGATATTTACACTTATCTAGAAGCAGTTGCATTTCAGTGCTTAGTGAGAGACTCCCTAGACACACTTGAGTTGTACAAATGTTAAGGCCCCACACTTACAATAAATATTCTAATGCTCATACAGTATTAATAATACAAATTCATAATATTTATAATACATCCCAGGGGAGACGAAGGGAGGTTCACTTGAGTGTATAACAAAAAGATTTGGAAACAGCTGCTTTCTTTCCTAGCTCATGGCAGCTGATGGATGCTGCTGCTGCTGCTGGAGACAGTGCTGTCTGACATCAGGTAATATATGTGCTGCTGAGGAGCTACAGCATCCCTTGGGATACAGGGAGTCTCGTGGCACAGTCGTTCTGTGTGATCTGGTACAAGAGTAAGTCATTAGCACTGTAAGAGTAGCAGTTGTAGGAGACTCAGTACGCCCATTGCCAAATCTGATCATAATTTCAATTTTAAAAGTTGCTTGGAAGAAAAGGGTTTGAGTTGGAAAATACTGTCATTCTTATTTCCCCAAGGAAGATAAATTGCACTTCGATCAATGACAAATCAGAAACATCAGTCACTTTTGAGAGCAAACTCTTTTTGACCTGATGCCATATTTTTATTCTATTAGATGAATCCAAACCTCTGCTCTGCTGCCCTTATATTTTAAAAATAGTAAAGATATAGTAACCAGAGAAATATCCCATCAAGCAATTAGAATTAGGGTTAATGGAAAAGATCCTAAATAGAGTTAGGGCTTTGGTCCTTTGAATATCCTACATCAGTTTTCAGCTTCCAAAGGATGATGATTATAAGCATTCAGACCACCTGCTAGGTGATCCAGCAGAAGACAGTGATGTGAATAAGCACAAGTTGCATTAGGACCACAAATTCATGTGTTTGACAATTTCAGAATACCTGCTTCTTTCAATTTACAGGAAAGGTTTGTGTTCATTCTGCCTTACTCTAACTTTTGACTAAATTAACTAACTAAAATTGTTAGGTTCAACAAGTGTTTTAAAATATAAGGTATTCTGCTAACTACACTCAAATTAGCTGCATGCTAGCTCTTGTCCTTGGGCAGGACATGGCTAAAGGTTGTCATATTAAGTCCACATCCAGGTAGTTTTTGACCTTTTAACTTTATGTTCAGCACCTCATGCTCATCCTAATCCCCTGTTGTGCATCACTGTATGCATTCCAAAATAACAGGGTCCAGGTTAGGATGTTATTTGATAATGGTTAGGATGCAGAAGCTGAGTGACTTTAACAAAGAGGTATTTTAAAACCCACCAAAATGCACTCTGTGATCTTTAACTACTTGGAAAAAAAAAATATCTGAAATACAGGAAACCCAGCAAAAGTAGCTATAGCTCCTGGGATATCAATGCATTTGTAACCTAATTAATATAATACTGCATATAAGCATTACAGGTAAGAATTAAATCAGTGCCTTCATAATACCTTGTGACTATGCTTATATGAGGTGCACCACAGAGTTGCAATGGCTCAGTCTTCTGTATTGAAATTGTAGTTGCATATTTGGTAGAGGTTTAATGTGTTTTAAATTATACTTCTATATAACTTCATTATGTGTAGCAACTTGTCAATATCCAGCAGCTAACTCTGAAGCAGAGTAGATCAATTTAGCTGTTTCTATTGTGGGGAGCTATATCTCTTTGGGAGATATGATATGCAGCTATTTTCCAACTATATCAGTGAATATGCAGCCTACTAACTGAATTGATTAAAGTTGAGCAGAGGTGTTAAGTCTGCTTAAGTTTAGTGCAAAGGTTCTGCAAAGTTCTGTTTGCTCTGCCTCCTAAAAAAGTATAAATATGTATAAATGTTTATAAAGTGTATATGAATCACTTTAAAAGAGGATAAAGCATATAAATGTAGTCTTGTTCCATTTTGTAAAGGGGCAAAGGCTGATTCACTTATCCAGTTTATTTTTTAGAGAGACTTTGGAGGGGGGGGGGGGGAAGGAGGAAAATATTTTCCAGTGAGTGAAAGAGGAGGGTGTTGATGCTGCTTTTGCTGTTTTTACTATGTGGCAGAGTGAGAATTACTTACATAGCTGGAAATAATCAAGACACCAAGATAATATTCCTCCTGCAAAATGCGTTTCAAAGTCCCATTTATGGTGTGTTTGAAGGACAAGTTTCAGAGAAAAAGTCTGAGCATTCTTTTTACCCAGACCATCATGACATGGCTGGTCCATGGCTGTGGAGACTGGGAACTTCCTATGCAAATCTGGTGCCCAAATCACAGAAGCAGGAGTGCAGCAGATGTTACTCCTGCAAGCAGCAACTTGGCTGTTCTCTTTTACTGTGCTGATGGGAAGTGAGAAGATAAAGGTGATGAGGTCATTAAAAAAATAAAATTCCCAAACTGAACAAGTGTAGAGAGGTGATACTATTTGTAATACCTATGGTATACATGTGCCATCAGAGGTCACCAAAAAGATTACTTAATTGGGCAGTTGAAAAGGGAAAACCTCTACCCAGCTTTCATCATAGTGATGGTCCTGGAAATGCCTTTATCTAGCCTCAGATTTATGACTGGGAAAGTCCCCTTGCTCTCATTTTTTGCTAGTCTCAGGGCTCAGTTCCTAATGCAGCCCTATGAAAACACAAACCTGTAATACGTGCCTGATTTCAGCTTTAAAAGTTCTTTGTTCCTGCAGTGACCTCCCTTTGCTGAAAATCTGCTCTGCATGAGCTTTCTCAGTGTGTAATTGCTTGAGGATCTATAGGTAAGACTTTTCAGTACTTAAATAACTAGTATGTGAAAACTCCATGGTGAGGCCTTTCATAAATCAGAGGAGGCTTTGGTGCAATTGATTTGATGATGCAGTTCACTCTAGGAGCTGTGGATGATGGAGTCTAATGAAGAATATTGAAAAGGTTACAGAACTTTCTCTTCCTTTATGTGCTTTTTGTCTTGAAGCTGATGCCTGAATGATAGAAAGAGTCAAGGTATTAAACCCCACATCTTTCAATTCTATTTAAAACACAAATCTCTAATTTTGTTTCAAGACACACATTTGTCTGTTTTTTTCTTTTGACAGAGCAAATATTTTTTCCGGCTAACCATTACCAGGTTCTGTTTCTCAGACTGACGTTTTTTTCTTATGCACTTACTTCAGAAATATGCAATAATCTGATTTAGACCTGTGCTGTACTAAAGGTGTTCATGAAAGAACATACTCCTCAGAAATACTTTGGCCGCTGTTACTTATTCATAGTGTTTTCCTTCCATCTTCCCTCCCTTGCAAGGAATTATCATGGCTTGCCTGAGTTCTGCATTGCATTGCAAGGGCAACATTTAAGCCCTGTCAAGGGATGCATTGCAGCAAAATGGATAACAGTAAACAATTCTCAGTATGCCATTTTAGCATGAAATTCTCTGAAGGCCTTTGTTAGCTCTTTGTTAGAGACAGCAAGCACAGTGTTATTCAAGATCAGGTCAGTGTTTGCACAAAATATAAGGGAAGCCCTTTCTTTGGAGGACAGGGCATATAGCCCAGGAAGCCTGTGAGCAGGAAAGCTTTTTTCTAGAGCATTTGTGTCTGGATTTTTCTGTATGTCAGTCTTTCTGGAATCATATGTTTAGAATTAAGTGAATTATATAGCAATGTTCACTTGGATTCCTTAATTTAGTCAAAAAGACTCATATTTCTTCTTTTATCCCTTCCTTTGTTGTTTTGTAAGGGTTTTTTCAAGATAGCAGAAAAGACTGATTTGGCGAAAGAAATCTTTAGATAGCAGTGTTAAGCTTATGGCACAAAGGCAAATGCCATTGCAGTCATGCTGCTTTTATATAGCAATCACGTTGTACCAGAAATAATAATCTCTTGGTAAGCTAATTTCAAAATGATGATAATGACATTGATCTCCTTTCTAAAGTACTTCGAGATTTACTGATGAATGTCTTGATGCAAGAAATAGATATAAATTATCATCAAAAGCATTCATGTGCAGAAATTCCAAAGAAAATTATCAGAAAATTTGGGTTCCAAAGTTTAGTATGCAATGGAAATTCTTTGTTCTGCCATTATCGTAAGAGCGAAAATGCCCATGAAAATATGCAAAGCCAACAAAGTAACCCTATGTGTGAGCCCCCCCTGCTGCCTGAGACTGCCATTACCTAGCAAGCCTGTTGCCAGGATCACTACAGAGCTTACTTACGAGATTCAAGAAAGAAGTTGTGGGAGACACAGTGGTTGGGATGAGGATCAAACTCACTCAAGAGCGATGTCAAACGGCAAAGGGATACTTCTCCACACACATACATTCCCCAAAAACTCTATGTTTTGAGGAAAACAAACATCTGACAGACTTTATTAAAGCCAATAATACTGTTTGCTTTCAAAGGTGTAGCTATTATTTCCAGAATTTCACCAAATGTAAAATAATATTCAAAATATATAAGGGTCCTTTGCATTTATTTTTGTCACCAAAAAAAAATAATAATTTCAATGTCTTTAATAACAATATCTTCTCTGCTAAGATTTTAGATTCCATGTTTCCAATAGGAAAGGTTTGGTAATGAAAGCGCAGCTGCAAGGACTTATACTCTGCAGCCTTGCAGCTTCTTTGCTCATTTTCACCTGCTCAGCAGGAGAGGCAAGTGGGAGTGAGTGCTACAACAAGAGCTATATAGCACATTATGCCTTTTGTGCAGAAGTATTGATATCTAGGCAAGGCAGTGAAGGATTAGGTCCCCTGGGAGGTATTCAGGAAAACAGACTGCACCAAAAGTTGCGCTCCTTCAGTTGAAGTGGGAGGTGGGTTGCTCATGAAAATTACCTTCAGACTAGATCTAAAATCTAGCATCTATGCTAGAAATGAGACCATGACATATTTTGCAGTTCTTGGATGTGCTGTTTTACAGTTGATGCCAGTGTGAGCCACAGTACAAGTGTAAATTCTCTGGTTTGGTGATTCTGCAGAATTACTATTTGTTTATATTTTTATTTTCCCAGTTTAATTCCCCATATATGCTGAAGAAATTTCTCATTTTGATCAAGACATGAGGAGATAGATTGGAAGGAATCCCCTATATAAGTACATCTGCTGTCTATCTGCTCTGTTATCTAACATTAGCTCTCTGATTTGGTATGAACGATCTACTGTAGAAGAGCTACAAATGAATAGACATAGTTAGACATGCAAAGAAATCATAAACCACTTACTTTATCTGAATAGATAGATCTGAATTGATCTGAATTTATCTGAATAGAAAGCCAGTGGACAGAGGAAAATACGGGGTGAGGTTGCCCTGTACTGCAACTAATGAGCTGCAGTGTTACTGTAGAGGTAATGATGAAAGATCTGGGATAGGAAGAGGAAACTGGGGAGACCACAGGAATTGAAGCAAACAATGTTGTTGCATGCCAGCAGAATTAAGGTGCTGTCTTTCCTGGGAAGCTTGTCCTGAACTGCTGTGTCATTCCCTGAAGGCTGGAGACCTTACCTGCACTTTAGAGACTTTGGGATTCACTGAGAGCACCGTGGGAGAAAAGGTATAGCTTGTTCAGGGATTAACTTTAAAATAATTTCAAAAATAGGTCACATAAAGTTACATTCTCAGGGGGACTATACGGAGATTTAAGGCAAAATGTATGCCTTTAAAAAGTGAAAGAGCTTATATTGTACCTTCCCAAGATAAGCCTGGGAATGCTGTTTTAAAGTAGACATTTCTTCCAGAGAGTTCTGTAAGTTTGTTCAAAATTGGTGAATAGTTGCTCTATATCAGTTTGAAAGCTACTGAACTTCAACAGTGTATGAATGTGTGCAATGTTTGCATAGCCTTCAAGATGAAAAGGACGTCATGGGTTTTATCTAAAAGTCTATGGCAATATTTGTCAATACTTTTGTGGACTTTGGCTTAGACTAAGCCATTGTTTATAAGTAGTCAAAATAAGGAAACGAGTACCATTGCTTGGCAAAATTTAGGACTTCTGACTTGGGAAGCCCTTCACGGCTTAGCTAACTTAGGTACCAAAAATGAGGTCAAGGTTCTATAATCTCCTTCAGATGTATCTGCTGTTAGCTGAAAGCCTTGAAATTTTTACGCTGTGAAACTTGTGGCAATAAAGTGTCAAGTTGTCTTACGTAAAACTTTCAGCAAATTGGGAATCCGTCACAACTGCTTAAGAAAACTCTTTGAAGGCTACTGTTGACCTTGGATTTATAACTGTCATGTTTTTGACATTCCCTTTCTTATTTCAGGTGTATATTCACTTTGCACTGTCTTCATCACAAATACAAGTTGAGATTGATGAGACCCATCCATTAATTCCAGCTTTTTTTCGTGACACATCTTACACATCTCCTGTCTCATCTCCAGCCTGAGCTTTTCATACTAAGTAGTAGTCTGAACTTGCATAAAAGCAGTTGACTTGCAGAGATACGAGGGGAACTTGGTCTTTCTAAATAATATAGTATAACCTCTTGATATTTAAATGTGATTCCTTCTGGGGATTAAAAGTTATGATATTTCTATTTACACACTGCAAGTCATTGGAACTTGTGCTAAATTTGAGGCAGTGCCTAATCCCTTTGAAGGGCTGAGCTCAGGGTCCTCATTGTCTTGCCAGATTCAGTTTCCAGTTATCTCTGACTTGATTTCCCTCCTGGTTTGCACCTAAATAGTACTGTTGAGTTCAGAGTAATTATTCCTCTTCTAATTTTGTCATGGGCATCTAGCCTAAAGCATCAGATATTAGATAACTGGGCTGAAACAAGAGCCCTTATTTTGTTGTACCTGCTGCATAAGGAGGGACTTCTTGTGCCAATAAGGAAGGTCTGGTTACTCCTGAATCTGGAAACACAAACAAGGGAAGCAGTGCAAAGATCATAAAGAAAATAATCTAGAGCTCAAAAAAGGGCAAGGTAACTTCCTTATTTTAGCCAAATCCTGAAATAAAAATCATCATTTACTGTCATCTTAATCACACTGCAGAAACTTAAGGACACTTCTGGGATAGATTTAGTAAAAGGATTTAGTAAATGGTTACAGTTACAGTTGTTCCAGTACATACAATCTGACATTTTTGCTTTCTGACCTGTCAATAAATACTTTTTTGTAAAAGCTGATGGGAAGCAACCACCATGCTGTTAGTGAGCTAGATGTGCTAATAGGGGCACAACCTACTAGACTGCTGGGTAAATAAAATGCTGCGTTTAGGAGCACGTTCTTTGCCTTTCTCTTTGGTGAAATAAGGAAATCCTAGCTGACCAGAGCATAAAGAAGGTGAGCGCAGGGAAATTGCTTTTATGTCACCTCAGTTCACCTGTTCGATATTTTTTTGCAAAGAGTTAAACAATGCCTTTAGAGGAGGGAAAGGGGAAATAGAACAAGGGGAATCACACACAGCCTGGAAGGGCTCACTGGTGATAACAACAGGGTTGTTATTAATTGGGAAAGCCCTCTAGCCTGGCACTACCTACCCTCACAAACTGCAAACTTTCCAGTCTGAAACTGTAAGTACAGTTTCCCTTGATCATGTTGCAGTTTTGCATGCCACAGGATAGAAAATTGTATGGAAGGTTAGTTAAGGAGAAACATGCACATGCACCTTATTGTATGTACCCTTTTGACATTCTGTGGACCACTGGTAAATTCTGTACTGTTCTCATAAATATTTGGGGTTTTTACTCATCAAAGAGGTTCAAAAATACTAGCTAGGGTGCTAATCTGTACTAACATATGTGGAGAGCTGGTAGCTGCTGCCACTGGTTGTGGAAACCAGACTGGTTCCTATGGACACTTAAGTTTAATTTTAGGGAATCTCACAAGAGTTCTTTTTCTTTCTTTTTTCTTTTTTTTTTTTTTAAGAGGAAAAATGGATATTGTCCTCCCTCTAACTCAGTTGCTACCTAAAAAAATCCCCAAAAGTTTTACTTTGCATAGAGTAATTTTATAAATGTAATTAATTTTGTTTCGTAAAGTACACTTTCCAGAGCTTTTGGATATCCTTAGGTCGTTTAATAGGAATGAAGGGACATGGCTGGCAGAAAACGACGAATTAAGAGGAAAATGTATCTCCATTAAGGTCATAATACCATAGCACTATCCTGCCATTGGCTATTTGTGCAGGACCCAGGGTCTGTGCCTGTTCAGGACCACATGATAATGGTCAAAAAGTGTTGTGCTCTGTTGTGCTTGTAGACTGCACCTGAGAGGGGGTTTGTGTTGGTGTTGTGTTTTTTTTTGTTTTCTACCCCTGATTTGGACTCTTTTATCTCAGAGCTGTTGGCTTTGGTGAGCCAGCCAAGCTCTGCCTGAGCTGAATGCTTGGTGTTGCATGTGTGCATAAGCATGCAGCAAAAGCTTAGTTATTGTCTATATTATCTCTGTGCACTGGGCTGTGATTTTTTCATTTTGTAGCTCTGTCACAAATTGGTGTGCTCAAACTGGTGACACAAAAGAAAGGATTTGGACACATATTGGCATGAGTTTCATTAGCCACTGCACTGCCCTGGTCTGAGCTGCTTTTTCAGATAAATCCTGTATTCTTACCCCAGAAGTAAGCAACAGAATAATACTTTAGGGGTGTATTTTGTGTAATCCCCATATGGGAACAGTCACATCTTATTTCATTTTACAACAGACGCTTTGTTCTGCTAAATGCTTTCCTTTCCAGGGAGGTAGGAAGGGGGAAAATAGCTTTTCTTTGGTTTTTAACCTGTGCTACATGTCTATGTCAAGTTACAGAATCACTAAATATATTTGCAGCCCACAAAACCAGCTTTGGTTTAGCTGCAACTTCACTGGCTGTTGTTTCGATGCCCTTCAGCTTCCATAATTTCAGTGAAAGAAAAGGGCTCCTCATACCTTGTAGGATTTTTGGGAGTGGGCCAAGTGAAAGGTCATATGCAACAAAAAAGGTTTTCCAGCATGGGGCAGGTCAGGGTAGCTGAACATCCTGAGAGTAGAACATAGGCATCATGAAATTATTGAGCTGCCTGCCCAGAATCTGAAGTGCTTTGGATGTTCGTCACATCTCATCCCTCAGCTATTTTTATTCTTTCTGGCCATTTAATTTTTTTTAGCACAAAGGCCATATTTACTGTGTTTGTGCGGATATTAACACACTTCCAGAGACAGCAGAAACTGGGAGCTCTGAGGCTGCGTTTCTGCGGACGTTGCTCTTGGCATCAAAGGCAGCGTGAGCTGTTCCCGCTCTTCTCCTCTTCAACTCCATCTGTTTATTCCATTTATCTCCAACTGTTCACTCCAGGGGTGGCTCCTCCGTTGTGCCATTGCCACTTTTTGCAGAGCTGCAATGAACTGATTGACCTCAGCTGAATTAAAAATGTGCTCAGTCCTTTTTTTTTTAATTCTTTAACAGGATCAGTTGTGACTTGAGTTTCTGAGCCCAGTTCACCACACAAACATATCAGCATGACTGAGGGACAAAAGCAGGCAGAAAGAACCACACTGTCCTGTTTTGCCTCCTAGAAATGTGTCCTGAAACTGTGACCTGAAGCACAGTCAAGTGTCAGAACCAAGACAGTCATTACAGCTCTTGTGCCTGAGACCTTCACTTCCCTTATCAGCATAATTAGAGATAAATAAGGGACCAAACTTCCAATGCATTCTTAACACCTTCTTAGAACCGTGGAGAAGGTGAATGGGTGTTTAAGGATGGAGCTTGTCTTAATGTTAGGTTTGGATCTTAAACCGTCTTCTACCCTTCTGTTCAATATATTCCAATTCCTCTTTATTTATATCCAGTGTTTTGTGAGGTTGCCTTTATCATCTGATTGTTATCCCTTTCCCAGCCATGCAGGAACAAATTTTGGCTTTCTTTGCTGGCTCACCTTTAACTTCTCTTGTTCCTGTGCTGTTTGTCTTTTTCACGCTGAATGCTAATGAGGTACTATTTGGTCTGTCTTCAGCAGTCATTTTCTGGGTAATTTCTTTAAGCAGCAAACACTAATTCCTCCCACTCTTTAAAGTGCCATATGGGATCAGATTACCAGATTAAACATGATCCATTTTTGGATGGCATTAATGTCCCATGCTAATTCTATTAAAATTATTGACTATCTGGCTGAAAATACTGCCTTCTAAAGACTGACACACAGCTATTTTCAGGCCAGAACAAGAAGGGCAAAGGGCCATTTTCAAATGTTTTTTCTAACATCTTTATCTCAAAGTTTGCACTTATGTGAACATATTGCCAACTGGATTCCATTTGCTCATGTTAACAGGCACTGCTACAAATGCAAAAATATGTTTTTAGCAGTTATCCTTCTAAGAAGTATTTCCAATCCTAGATGACGCATGCAATAATTTTGAAAGATCTTGAGGGGAGGGAGGCTTAGTAAGAGAATGTGACCCTAGAGATTATCATCATCATTCAGATAGTAAAGTTGAATGCATCTTAGGCATAGATGATAGTTTGCAGGCTGATATCTAATAGCCTTATCAGAGCTAGATGGATGTTGAAAGAACTGGTACGAGTAACATACCAGTTAAAGGAATAACGCAGTCCTCCTGGGTGAATATTTCTGATGCATTAATGCATAGTGGGTGGACTGGGTTTAAGAGTCAAAGAGGAGCAGCCTAGTAGTAACTGGGCACTTGATGTTATTTTCTCTTGCCAGTTTTATGTTTATTATTATTATTATGTGAGGTTGAGTTCCTGCTCTGGAAAGGAGAAAGGATGTATTATATTTAGCCTGTAGCTGAAAGGTAGCTAACTGACATCCTTACCCAACCCATTGGCTCTCCCCTTCCCAATAGGTATTATTGTGCAGTATATGGGAATTCCTTCACACTGGAGGCTTCTGGGGAGCAAGGGACTACTCCATCAGCCAAAAATGGTATAAAATGAGATTTAAAATCATTAGCATGGCTTCTGCCATTACGGTCTCAACAGATACTGTAAACTTACAGGATTTGATTCATCATTTGCATTGATGTAAAATTGGCCGTGACTGCCAAAAAACAATTGACTATTCCTCCACAGCTGTTTTTTAATTACATTAGAATGCTGCAGCGTCTGATGCAGCCACTCAGCCATGGTGTGGACCTGCCTTCTCCCAGAGGGACCATTCCAGAACAGCAGCACTTGCTTTGAGATGAAATCTATAGCAGGGGTGGCTTGTACACAGGTAGCAGTGACTCTTCAGTTATGGCCAATTCATTTCTTTCCTGGGAAGCCACTCTGCAGGACAGTGGACTGCAGAGAAGTTGGGGTTTAGAAAAATAACAGCCAAAACATCGAGTCATCTCTCATCATGCTGGCACACAGCCCAGAAGCTTGTAAAAATGCAACTTCATCAAACAAAAAATAGTTACCAGAAAAGGAACAGAACAGAGAAGAAAATACCTTCCCAGCTCTAACTTGTGATGTTCCTGTGTTTCATACTCTATGTACATTCTATGATTCTACAGCTCTTGTTACCCTGTCTCAAGTGGGAAGGTGGAACTGGAAGAACTGCAGAGATGACAGCCTGAGCAGGGGAACTGAACAGTTTCCGTACAAGCAGAGACTGAATGCACCAAATCTCTTCACCCTGGGGAAAAAGGAGTCTCATGGTGTGCATAATACTGTGCACAATAACGATGTAAAAAGGTGTACAAAATTATAAACAATCCAGAGGATGCAGAGAGGAGATGATTATCTCCTCTTACCTCAGAACAAGAAGTAGGGGCACCCTGAAATTTCTAGGAGAAAGGAGAAAAGCACTTTTTCTTCATAATGCAAAATAATTTGAGGAATTTGTTGCTACATGATGTTTTCCATACTGTGTTTAAAGAGGTTTAAGAAATTATTAGACTAATTCAAGACAGAAAGATGCATCATAGGTTATTAAATACAGTGGTCGGGATACAACTTTCAGTTCAGGAAAACACAAAGTCTTTGACTGCACAAACTAGAAGATTACATTTAGGGAAATATAATGTTACACCTTTGGGCTAAACAAGGACAGATTAGTAAAAGGATCATTTTTCAGCTTTCTTCACTTCTCTGGATATTTTACATGCTTTCTTTCCTGAGAGTGGACCCGAGAACCAAATTGGGATCAAAACACTGTATTGAGCTCTCAAGAATTAGCAACAGTCAGTGAAGTGTTTCATTAAAGTAGCAATGCAAGAGGTAAACCCCCAAACTAGACACATGAATGTCAATAAACATGAGCAAATATCTAAACTCCATCTGTAACAAATGCAAAAGAGATTTCTGAAATTCTTCTTCTTTCCAAGAAGAACTTACAGCGTAGTAGCAAATGCCACTTGGTGTATTGATAACAAAATCCCGTATGCTCTGTATTGATAAAGAAATCCTGTATGCTCTGTACGTTTCTGCAAAGTTCCTGCAAAGGGAACCAAAACCCCTTTCTTTCACCTCTGGGATTGCCAGTCAAATGGCTGTACGTGCCTTTATTGATACAGTCTGAACATACAGATTAGTTTACAGGGACACCCAGCAGCAGTGCCCAGTGTGTGGCCACCATCCTGGGCTTCCTGGGCATAGGCACTGCCTCAGGGCCAGCACCCTAAAGGCCTTTCTCCAAGAGATGGTGAGCACAGGGGCAGCAGCAGCAGGGCTGTGGTGGGCAGGGCTGCAGGGGCTCCGTCACCCCTGTGTCATAGTGCCACCACCCATCAATGCAGCATCACAGTGCTCTGGGGCAGTATAAGTCCAATGCCCTCCACCAGTGCTTTGGAGCTCCATTGCCAGGCACAGGAAGGGTTCTTGCTCCCAGGGTAGATCAGGCCAGCAGTATTTTGCTGTTGTTGGAAGCCCCTGAGATGGCTCCAGATGGAGGTCAAAAAGGCAGTGCCAGTGTCAGGCAGCAGGTTTTGCTCACATGCTCAGGGAGTATCTGATCGCCAGCACTGGGGTCAGGAAGGAATTTTCCCCCGGGGCAGATTGGCACCGGTCCCCAAGGTTTTTTGCCTTCCTCTAAGCACTGGGCATGACCACTTGTCAGGGCTCCTCTGGTCCTGGTGCTCTGGGTTATTGGCTGCTGCTCATGCACCACAAAGGTGGCCCCTTGTGTCCTGCAGCTGGTGGAGGAAGGCTTTCTTTGCCCCATGTGGGCTAGCAAGCGTCCCTGGGGTTTTTTGCCTTCCTTCACAGCAGAGCACAACCCCTTCATGGGGCTCCTCTGGGTTATTGTAGCCCAAAGGCAGCGGCTCGTGCTCCACGCAGCTGGCCTTCATGCCCCTCATCCTGGGGCGGAGGCAGCCTTCAGCACTCCCAGGATGGCCGCAGCATGGCCCCGGGACTCTCAGGCTGGCCCCAGCATGGCTCCAGGACTTGCTGCTGTCCTCCGTGGCATTGAGCACCACCCCGAGTCAGGTCATCCCTGGCCCATTCTGGTTGGGTTCTTTTCGGCGCTGCTCTCACATCACCACGGCACCTCTCCTGCCCTGGCTTTCCTTTGTCAGGCTGCAAGGGAGGTTTTTTTCCAGCTAAACAGGAAGGATGTTTCAGCCTGCTGCGGGTTATGCGTGTGCATCGGGTTAAGGCTTCTGGGCATCAGCTCTGAAGGACTTAGAAAAAGAAAATATAATCTAAACTGAACTAAAACTAAGCAAACTAGAATAAAAAAAAAAGAATAAGGTAAAATAACTTTATTTATAAATAAATAAAATGCTCTTTCCAACTGTAACCTTTCTGATTTGCATCTTTGAAAGTGTTTTTGGTGCTGAAACCCCCCTGGCATTTCAGGTAAATGATGGTCTCCTCATTATACAACTCATTGTGAGTGTAGGGAATGGAACAGAACAAGAGAGAATGGAAAGGAACAGAACAGAACCAGCTATGATATGTTATGCGTATAGTCCTGCATGACAAGCTCTCACCTAGGTCTGAGGGGCTTTCTGCGGTGCAGGTCCCAGGAGAGACCAGTCGCAGGCATTGACAACTATGAACACTCTCTGGACCCTGACAGAAGTAGACCTGCACTCATCATATACTCTCTTTTAGAGATGTATGGGGTGCCCCTGGAGAGAGAATATTGGGCCAGATGGACTCCTAAAGAAGTGTTGTTGCTATCAGGCTCTCGTGTTTGGTTCTGTTTCTCCAAAAGCAACAACTCATTCGTTTTTAAAAGCTAGTATCTGGGGGAGGGGTGGGCTTGGGAGTGGGTGGAAATCACACAGACGTGAGCAGATATTGCCCGCATAAAAAAGGTTTGCAACCATTTAGTTCAGGAGCACATCCTGCTTCAGGCTGAGGGCTTGATCTTTGAACCTCACTGATGTGAGTCTCAGGTATGTGGTCTTTTGCTGTCCTGTGGAAACCCAAATAAACTGGATGAACACCGAAGAGTTTCAAACAGTTCACGTGTATTTTGCAAATCTGTTCAGATGCTCAGATGGTGAAGATGGCCCTGTTTCTGTCTAGCAATGGAAGGTCCATTGATGTTCCTCCTTCTCACTGATAAAAAGCAAAGTAAGGTCCTGACTCCGGAATTTCCTGAGTAAGGTAGACCTGGTGGGGTAGAAAGTAGAACTGGGTAACAGGCACACCAGCTTTGACAGGATCCCACAGTCCAGTGTGGTTATCATGCCTAAACATAGCTAAAAATGGTGTCACTTAGGCATATGGGCTAAAATGAGCTAGCCCTTTGAAGAAATAAAATAATTTCCACAGACAGAAAATGGGACAAATGGACAATTTACCATTTTTATGCCCCTTTTAATTTTTTTGTATGTTTTTCAGACCAATACTTTTTCATATGAATTGCATCCAAATTTTCAAGCCTAAATATTTTACCTACTTGAAATAAGACCTGAACCTGACTGGTAAATTCACACTACAATTCTTTCTGTGCAAGAGAACCAAGAATATGAATAGGGTCACCCTAACTTCTAGAGAAATTACTCAGTGGAAGCAGCAAGCTACACCTAATGTTTTTCTAAAATTATTTAAATATTGAACAAGGGAAAACCATAATTCAGGTATGTTGGTGGTGCCAGTTTAAAGCTCATTAGTAGATTTATTTCACTTGTAATTTCATTAGGATAGGAAAAGTTACAAGCAGCTTTTGTTCTTTAATCATTATTATTAAACTGTATTGTTATTTTTAGGGTTTTTGAGATAGTTAAGTCCTTTGTGACAGGAAAAAAGCTGATCTTTTGTCCAGGTAAATGCATTTAGTATGATGCAGAAACTGGGACTCACAGACAACACTGAGGGGGAGATGCATGAGAAGGATTTATCCAGATGACCATGACATTTTAAAACATCTTTGCTTTCTGTGATTTCTTGCAGATGAGATAGACAGTGTCATATTTGCAGAAAATTGCTATAATAAGGAGGGTGGCAGAGAGTAAAAGTAGAGTGTTGTGCAGATATTGTGGAAGGAACCTGTGAGAAAACACAGCAAGGGCAAAGAGACTGCTGGCAGCAGCAGCATAGGGGGGATGGTCCCAAAGCGATCAAAGGTCTATGATAGGAGCAAGCACTGATGAAATTTGTTTTGCTGTATTGTGATTCGGAATCATCTCTTTGAGCAGTAAAATTCTGGAAGGTAGGAGTAGGGAAGTGGTTCTCTGAATCTGGAACATTATTCACTGAAAATCTCCTGTGAGGATTCTCCCCATTATCCTGCACGCACTCCATAATTTTACAGACAGCATAAGACATGGTAACAGCATGACCCCTGAGGCCTACTGAATAGCAACAAATAAAAGTTGAGGCATTAAACCTCATACAGTACTGTCGGAAAAGCAAGGAGATTAGAAAATCCTCATTTTTTAGTAGAGATGATATTACCCTAAAAATGGAACCATATTACAAAAAAAAAAGGGGGGGGGGGGTCTTTGCAAATTTTAAATCCTAGATTCAAAATGTAGGTGGTAAGTCTGAGAAGCAGTTATTTACAGAATTCATGGTTTAATGAGGTTTAAGTGAATGATGAATGTTTTACCCCTATATATGTTCTTATGCATTTAAGAATTCCCACTGATGCCCAGACCTTTTGCAGAGATACCTTTCAGGCCTCTTTGCTGCATTTGGGTGGTATTACCAGTTAAACTGTTTTCAGTAGCAGTTAATATGCTTATCTTCCAGGGCTGTTTCAACAGATATTTAGATTCCTTTTCCCTAATAGGGATATTTGAATATGCAAATCAATTCACTGCACATCATCATTTAAAGAGACTCCTGGTTTGGGGTACATCTGGCTTTACACCCTCAAATGGCATGCCATCAAGGGGGTACTGAAAATCGGTACCTTTTGTACTATATTTTCTTTTTTATTCTTTTTGAGCACACAGAAGTAATTATGTAGAAGAACAATTTTGAAAACAGGCTGAAAGATTATCCTATGAATATTAAATCAATTAAAACCAAAGAATATGATTGCTTTTATTTTCTATAGTAAGTTTTCAGCTTACCAGTGGAACTGTATGAATACAGAATACTTCCTTTTATGCCTGTGACTACTAAAGTATATATGGCTCTACAGAATAGTGTTTGGTATCAATATTGCATGCCTTTTCACTTTCTGTTACAGAATGGATAATTTAGGTCTAACTTGAAAGAGCACTTGGCTCCAATGATTCTGATAATTGAAATGTATGAGAATTCTCTTTAAATACAAATCTAATCAGGATATCACTGGTCACCCAAGTGTAATTCAGAGCACTGTAACACTTTGATCAATGAAGGTCTCTTCTAACAGGAAGGGGAATTAGTCTTGGATACTAAACAAACCGAGTTTGCTTTCTTTTATTTTCCTTTGCCTCTGATGTTTGTTTCTTTTTGAAGATCTCTCCAATTTTATTAATTTTGGTTTTCTCTGTTTGCGTTTACTTCAAATGTCCTCTCTTCCAATTCTTCCCCATCATTCCTTGGATCCCTTCTTTCCACAGAAGTGACCTGCTACTGCTGTCTCACTCCTGCCTTGCCAAAAACTCAGCAGCAACATTATTTTAGAATAATAGAAGGCAGTTGCTTTATTATAACTTCAAAATTGAGGTTGTTCAAACTGTGACTGTGTAAGTAGTACAGTCTCAGCAGCA